CTTCTCCGGCGGAGGCTGCAAGAGGATCGGGCCCTTCGCGGTCCTCCGTCGCCCTCGGGAAGAGAGAGGAACGAGCGGGAGCTTTCGCTTGACCTGGACTGGAGTGCGCGCGAGAGAGACCGTCTCCGTCCTCACGTGCCTGTCGAACCCACGCGTGTCGTGCGGCAGACGACTCTCTCCGCTCGGCTCGCCGCGTCTCCTCTCCGGCTCGAAGGAGACCCCTTTGCTACCTCGGCCCCTGTCCCCGTGGCCCACCCGCTTGCCCGCGGGAGGTCCGCCGCGGTTTCTGACAGCCGCCTCCAACCCGCGACGGCCGGGGGCACCTGGGCGGGCTCCTGCCGGAGAAGGGGCGTGGGGGGCCGGGGAGGCTCGAAGCCGCCGCGCTCTGGTCCCTGTGCTTGGGGAAGCGCGGCTTCCAAAGCGCGCCGGGCCAGGCGTCGCTGGAGCTCCCTCCGTGCCTCAGGGAGCGTTCGGCGGAGCAGAGACCCCGATGCCTGGGTTGGCCCTGCCTGGCCGGCCGGGACGGAGATCCGGGCGGGACTGCTGGACGGGGAGGGCTGCCGGCACCGACTGCTACGGGGCAAATGCTCAGGAAGGCGGGCGGGCGCAGGGCCGCCCAGGCTCGGCCGCTGCGTCTCCTGTTAAAAACAAACAAGCAAGCAAACAAACAAACAACAACAACACGAGGGGGGGGAGGTTTGGCTCATTTCTTCATCTCAAAGGTCAAGGTCTACTTTGGACCTGGGAGGGAAGTTTCCCGGCAGGGCTCGAAAGCAGCCGCGGGGCACCCAGGAGCGGGAGGCTGGGGGAAGGCAGGCTGCCCCCGCTTGTTGGAATCAGTGGGGGCGCCGTCGAGAACTGTTGCAGGGGTCGGAGGGGTGGATTTATTTCCGAACAAACAGGCGGAAGAATGAAGCGCCCGGCGCGGCGCTCTGCTAGCTCTGAGTCCCCAGGTCGGCGCAAGCCTCTTTCGGCGGCTGTCCTTGGCGCTCCGCTTTAATGGTTCCCGGTGCGTTTCCTCTCCGCGGCCTTATCGCCCCCCCCCCCGCCCCTCCGGGTTGCTTCCCTGCTGGATGGGTGGGGGAATGGCGGGTTTTAGAAGGCCGCAGGGCCAACAGACGGGCACCGAAAAAAGGTAAAGGTTCCCTTGCTCGAAAGCCAGTCGAGTCCGACTCTAGGGTTGCGGTGCTCATCTCCGTTTCAGAGCCGAAGAGCCAGCGCTGTCCGAAGACGTTTCCGTGGTCATGTGGCCGGCATGACTAAACACCGAGGTGCACGGAACGCTGTTACCTTCCCACCGAAGTGGGTCCCTATTTATCTACTTGCAATTTCTTGCTTTCGAACTGCTGAACTACCGACCTTCCACAGCCTGCAGTTCAGCGTCTTAACCACTTGAGCCACCGCAGTATCCCCCGAAATTCAGCTAAGGGACTCCAGAAATCAGGAGATGATGATAGATAGATAGATAGATAGGTAGGTAGGCAGATGATAGATAGATAGATAGATAGATAGATAGATAGATAGATAGATAGATAGATAGATAGATAGATAGATAGAAGGATAGAAGGATAGAAGGATAGAAGGATAGATAGATAGATAGATAGATAGATAGATAGATAGATAGATAGATAGATAGATAGATAGATAGATAGATAGATAGATAGATAGATGGATGGATGGATGGATGGATGGATGGATGGATGGATGGATAGATGGATAGATGGATAGATGGATAGATA